CACACACACACACACACACACACACACACGCATGCACAGAGCCAACCACAGAATACCATGAGAGAGCCTCACCCAGTTTCCAACACACTTCAAATGATGGGCAGATCTGCTTCCTGACAGCCCTTCTGCAGGAAATAGGCACCTCACAGCCAAGGCCATAACTGGGTAGATGCACGCCAAGGTCCCTGAGGAAACTGTAGATTCCTATCATCAAGTGCATGCCTATGCCTAGAGCAGCGTCCACAGAGCAAACCGACCAAGCACCATAAGAGGACGACAGGTACTATAGCTTATGGCCCCTTTTAACTAGACCTGAAACCCAAAGTGCCAAAGACACTTGATTTCAGCTTAAGAGAAGAAACATTTAAAAACACCAAGGCTTCGTAATATCTGCAACTGAGGTGTATTTTAAGATCTACAAACTATCAGTCAGCATTTACCCCAAGACAGAACTTGAGCAAAGTTGAATAGGATTTCTCTTTGTAAAAACATCACAGAGAAGGTTTCTTTTAAAAAGACAATGATTTATAAACTGAACAAAATGTCTCCCAAAGAAAAACCGTTTCTTACCTTTGAGCCAACGAGAGTGTAGAGCCACTGGATGGTCTCGTTGTGGTTAATGACGCCGTTCATCCCATCCACATACAACATAATCTGGCCCAAAGCTGTGGATGAGAGAAGCAAACAAGGAAATGTCATGGATTTACATGTAAATGTTGTCTTCGATGATCATGTGGTCAGCTGAGATCTTCGAACTTAAGGGCAACAGTCTGTGAGGAACCGACTCTGAGGATAAGTGCTAGGCGCTGAAATCAGCTAAATTTCATTTCAAAACTAAAAGAGACAGGAGGTATTCTGACCTCTGGAGGATAGAACCAAGGCACCAAGGGGGGGGGGAAGGGAAAGGGAAAGGAGGAGGAGGAAGAAGGGGAGGAAGAGGAGCAGGAGGAGGGGGGGAGGGGGAGGAGAGGGAGGAGGAAACAAGAATGCTCACAGAACTGGCATTTATATCAAGATGAATACTGGCCTCAGTTCTAGAACTCAGCAAACACAGTAACCCAAAGCCACGTCCTAACATGTAATACACTTTTGTTAAAAGAATTAAAAAGCAAGCAATGAAAGTTTAAGCATCACCTAATTCAATTAAACACTCAAATTTTCACTTTTAAAGGAGGAAAGCTGTTGGTATGTGGCTCTGAGGAAGAGCCCTCCTGGCTCCGAGTCCCTCTGTAGAAACACAAAGGGGCAGGTTTGTCACACTGAATGTTATGACTGAGTCTGTTCTTTGAGCATCTCTCTTCTTATATTTTCCAAGTTTTCTACCGTAAGCATCATGTTACTTCTGTGATATAAAGCAAACAATAAAAAAATGTCAAAAACCAGCCCAAGCAAGGTATGAGATGCTTTTCATGGTTTTCAGGCTCTTTCACTAGTGTGACCGTCCTCCTTTGGGAAGACCAGTGCCCACTCCATGAAGAACTCTGAAGATGAGGATTCAGCACTTCCAGCCTCATTTCTTCCCTCCCCCTCCCCACCTCCCAAGGTGAACTGGCAGTTATGCAGAGCAGGGGACTGGGTACCACAGCCTCTTTCCATTCCTCAGTCCTCCTGTTGAAGTCCACCCTCTTAGCCTTTTCTGTAAGTTGGCCTGAGGACACAGGGAGAGTCATGGACAAACCCCTGGAAGCCGGGGTACACCCTCCTTGCACCAGGCTGAGGAGCCTGGAATGGTGGTTTCCACCCAGACTGCTCAGGGCCTCTGACCGCAGTGAATGGGGAAAGCTGGGCCACTGCTACAGAAAGGGAAGGCAAATGAAGAGTTAAATCCCCAATCGATTCTATTTCCTGATCACACTGGAGGTAGCGCTACCACAAAGTTCATGTTTAACTCAGTCCAAGTGTCTGATCATGCTACCTTGGCATATAACACTAGACCATCAGAAGCCTGTCCACTAATCAGATCTCTAGCATCTCAACTTCAAAGCTAGAGCTCTCATCCTGCAAAGCCCACTCTGGACACAAGATGGTGCTAAAGAGACTCAACTGGGCTAACACCACACCAAGATTCAACGGCCAGACCCACACACCCAAAGGTGGGCCTGAGAATAAAATCACCCAGAAAAGAAGTCTGTGTCCCAGAAACACACCCGTCCGAGTGACAAGTTATAGCTTTACTTTTTTATACTTAGCTATGTGATCCAATTGAAATAATTTTTGTGCAAAGTTGAGGTTTAGATTGAAGTTTGTTTATATTTAGCTATACAATTCATTTAACACCATTGTTTGAAAAGACCCCCCTCGTCTTTTTGAAACAGGATCTCCCTATAGCCCCAGCTGGCTTGGAACTGGCTATGTAGACCAGGCTGGCCTCAATCTCACAGAGATCCGCCCGCCTCTGCCTCTGCCTCCCAAGTGCTGGGACTAAAGGCATGCGCCACCACGTCTGGCTTATGGTTTTTGTATATTTTCAAAAATCCATAGACTGTGTTTGTGAGGGTTGATTTCTACTCCCTTAATCTACTTGACAACATCACATTATCTTGATTATAGCTTTGTTTAAGTCTTCAGATCAGGTACTGTGATTCCTCCTATTTCACTTTTCTTTCTCAAAATGATTTTGACTATTTTTGTTCTTTTTCATATAAATGTAATATAAATTCTATATTCAGTTTGTCTACATCACTAAAAAAAAAAGTCTGGAGCAGGGCTGGGGTGATGGCTCAGCTGTTGAAGCACTTAACACCCAAGCATGAGGACCAGAGTTCAGATCCCCAGATCTCAAGCACATATGTGGCACAGGGCTAGAAGAAGGAGTCACAGATGTCCAGAGCAAACTGGCTACCCACACTAGCCATACCAGTGAGCTCTGGGCTTGGTTGAGAGACCCTGTTTCAATGAATAAGGTAAAAGAGTGACTGGGGATAATTCTCAGCATCTGTCCAGCCTCCGCGCGTGTGCACTCACATATATGCAAATATGCATACACACACATGCACGCATGCAATGTACACACATACACGTGAAAAAAGACAATAATTCTGAACACTGGGGTTTATAACTTTTGAGAGACCACCTCTACTAGGTGAGACTTTCAGTTTACAAACCCACATAGCTCATTAATTTAGAGCTCCTCTGATTGCCTTCGTTTGTGTTTAGTTTTCAATTGTAGATTTGGTACATGGTTTATGGTTTTGTTTTTGAAATTTATAAGTAGTCCTGTTCTTTGGAGCTATTATAGATAGTTTTATAAATTTTTCCATTCCCTGTTGCTTATTAGCAGATAGAAATAAAAGTGATTTTTGTGCGTTGGCTTTGAATCCTATAACTTTGTTAAACATTCCTCTAGGAGGCTCTGATTTTTTATTTTGTTTCTGTAGACTGACTTGTGTTTCCTACACAAGCAGTAACATTATCTGTGAAAAAGAAATTTTTTTCTTCCTTACCACACCATGTCCCCTGCTGCCTTACCGTGCTAGTTAAGAGTGTAATATTGGAATGTAATGTTCAACAGAATATTGCCATAAATCCAAGGAGTGGAGAAAGAACACTTCCCTGCCCTGTTCCCAACATTAAGAGGGAATACATTTAGCTCTTTATCGTTAATTATAATGCTAGATGTTGGCTTTTGTAAATTGCCTTTTATAAAGGTGTGGAAGTTTCCTCAAACATCTAGATTGCTAAGAGGTTCTGTGATCATGAACAGATGATGAATTTTGTCACGTACCTTTTCTACATCAACCACTATGATCATGTGGTTCTTCTTCAGGCTGTTGACAGGATGGTTTACAGACTGAATTTCCAATGTCAAATGAGCCTTGCATTCCCTCTGGCCATTATTCTTTTTATATATTGCTGGGTTTGATTTGCTAACATTTTGTTAAGTAGTTTTGTACGTTTGTCTACAATACATATTGGTCTGCAGTGTCCTGGCTGGCTTTCATACCTTGCTAATGCTGGCTTCATGAAATGAGCTGAGACGTGTCCTCTCATCTTCTGGAAGAGCTTGTATAAAATTGGTTTTATTTTGTCTTGAGATGTTTGGTAGAACTTGCCAGGAAACCATCTGGGCCTAGAGATTCCTTTTTCCCCAGGTTAACTGCAAGCTAACCTTCTGTAAAAGTCATCATTAGTAACGGTTAGAGCTAGGTGGCTTATTGCCTTCATTTGGGGTCTAAGAGGAACAGTCCGCTTCTCTAAGCTGTCTATTGTGTGAGTGAGTTGTTCATAGTGTTCTGCTGCTCCCTAACAGGCCTCTTCTCACCTCTAAAGCTGGCAATCAGTGTTTTCTCCCACATCCCTGTCTCCTCCCGGTCAATTTTATTTTTCTTTTCACAGAACCAGCTCTTAATTTTTCTTAGTTTTCAATTTCAATAATTTCTTGTTATTTCCTTTCTTCTACTTAGATTACTTTTTAATCCTTATTCTTTTTTGTTAAGTTGGGAGCCTACATGACTTCCTTCTTTTCCAACACAAGCCTGTGGGGCTGCAATTTCCCCTCCATGTATCACATCTCACAGATTTTGATATATTGTATTTTCATTTTGTGCAAAATATTTTCTAATTTCCTTTGAGAGTTTGTCTTTGACACATGGATTATTCTGAAGCCTGTTGATTTCCAAGTGTTTGGACACACTATTATCTTTCCATTACTGATTTAGTTTAATTCCATTATAACCAGAAAACATATCTGATTTCAATTCTTTAAAATTTGTTATGGTTTGCTTTACAACTCAGGATATGCTCTATCTTGGTCAATGTTTTTTGGGTGTTTGAAGGGACGTATATTCTGTTATAGCTGGGTGGAGTGTTCTGCAAATGCCAACTGGGCTAGTTGGCTGACGGTGCTGTTCAGTCCCTCTGCAGCCTTCCTAATCTCCAGGTCCGCTGTTCACCAAGAGGGAAAAGTGAATTCTCCAAAGTGCAACCGGGTTTTTCTATTTCTTTCTATTCTTTCAGCTTGGGCTTTGTGGATGCCGTAGCTCCGGCTATGTGGATGAGCTGGCCCTTGGTCACAGTGATGTTTTCTCTCTCTCGCTCTCACTCTTGTCTACTTCTCATAGCGATGTGGCCACTTCTTCTTTCTTCTGATTAGTATTTTGCTTGATTTTTGTGTCTGTATCTTTTTGCTCTGTAGCTGGGTTTTCTGTTTGTCTATTCTGATAAGCTCTGTCTTTAACTGCTGTGATTAGACCAGTCTTATTTCAAGCAATTGTTGACGTGTTTGATTTAGGTCTATCAGCTACTGAGCATATCTGATGAGCTTCTAATTTTATTTACTATGTATTTTATTTCTAACTATTAAAATCCTCTCTCTCTTCACCTGGAATTTGTATCTTTCTGTTGACCTTAGTGGTGTTTACATTTCGTACCTGAAGGAAATTTACACTTCTGCATTTCAGCCTTTCACAAACCCAGTGTCTGTACCACCTTAGCACTGATCTATTGCTTTGTCTTTTCCCAGTCAAGATGAAGTCTTCCTAGCTTATTGTATAACAAGTAATTCTGGCTTAGGTCCTGGATATTTTGAAAATCATGTTAAGAAACTGGCTTTTGTTTAAGCGTTACAGAGAAAACACTGTTTTGTTTAAGCATGCAGTTAACATGCCTCACTCTGAGCCATGAGTTCTGACCTTCCTTCCACAGCCTATGGCTCCCAAATCAGTTC